CTGCTGTGTTCATCCAGCTCTACACCTTGTTATCTCAGATTCTCCAGCATCTGCAGTTCCTACTGTCTATGAGTCTTATCTTCCCTGCTTTTGTCTTCTGTATAATTGGATTATGAATGATTGCTTTTTGTTTAAAAAAAACTACACAACTAATTTACATTGTTGTTACTGTTGTGCTGCAAATTCAGTCTTCAATGGTTTTGTTTTGCACTAATGCTAAGAAGCTATAGTGCAAATCGAGAATAAGTATCATTCCACCTCACTCCAGGTTCAGATTGATCTTGAAATTTAGCATTCAAATACAGCATTAGTGTCAGCATAAAAAGGAAACAGTTTCAATCTATGCTATAAAATGCCAGCCAGCACACTGTTCATAGCATTCTTAGAATCAAAAGTTTGAGCTTTCAAGTCACAACATGGTGTTGCACTTGGGATGTAGGTTCTCTGTCGATCCGTTTGCTTCCTTTCTCCAGGATATTGGCTGGATTGTTCTGCACTGAACGTACAGCACCAATGACCATAGTTTGATCTTTGAAGCTGTGATGTAAACAGGCATTTTATTTACAATTATTTTGTTAAAAGCCACCAAAACATAACAAAAAACTAAATTGGCAACCCATTTAAGTACAGTAGAACTGCTGCACTATTAAAGTTGTTGGCTTCCCTTGCAACATTAAACTGAAGCTCCAGCTGTCCTTACGTGGGCATTAAAGTCCCTGGCATCATTTTGAAGAGAACAGGAGATATCCTCAGTGTCCTAAGGAATAAATATTGGTCAATAAACAAGGTATAAATAAAATACTTGGTTACAATGCTTTTGGTAACAGTTGCTGTGCAGAAATTAACTGCTGTGGTGCCCGCATAACAATGAAGGTACTTCAAAAAAAGTGTTTAGTTGGCTGTAAAGCACGTTGGTTTGGAGGCCATAAAAAGCACTATACAATTGCAAATCTCATCTTTTTCTTAATCAATATGGGGGAGAATAAGGGCATTTTCTCAACGGTCTGAAAATTGAGGCTTTTGATAAAGAATTCCCAAACTATACTAAGTCCTGAGAATCTGAGTCAACCAATCCAATATTTTAATGCGTTTGTTTCATGCACTTACCTCTTGCTGAAAGGTCTCACTCGAACAGCCACGGTCACGGCACTGTCTACTCCATTTAAACATTCATTCCCAGCACATGGGCTCGGTGATGATATCTCCGCTTGCCTCAGAGTTCCTCTTGTAACCATTCCACTTCTTGGTAGTTTTCCATCTCCACAATTTGCGACTGCATTTGTGGAATATTTTAAGTTATTGATCCCAGATTCCATTGTCGGTTGTTTTTTTTGGAAGTCTCTGGCCATTGATTTAACAAAATGACTTTGATTTTTAGTTTCCTGCTGATTAACAGGCTTCGTTATTTTGTTTCCATCTGTTCTTAATGTTTCATTTCTATCTAAATTCTGTTCGGAGGATATTTTGAAAGGTATTGCCTCTGCCTTTTCTTGACTGTCATCAGATTTACCAGATACCATCCTTTTAACAGGCGTTATTGATGGATTGCTTAGGGTTTGCACTTTGTTAATAGTCATGACTGAATTTGACCGATAGGAAGAAGTTACTGGATTTTCCTTTTTCCTGCCAATTGAAGTTGGCTTTGCAGTTGCAGAAAGGTTGCTTCTGGCATTTCCAACATTTTGTATTAATGATAGACTGGAAGATACAAAACCTGTGGAATTGGTGCCTTTGGTTTGCAAAAGGTTATTTGTTGCCTGGATTGTGATATTTTGCGTCAGGCTATCTGCATTTTCTTTTAAAATACTAATTCCTCTTTCGGAGTTACCTCCCTTGGTACGGCGTTGCAACGCAAGTCTTCTTTCTCCTTCACTTGAATCAGCATTTCTATTAACAGCATCATGAACACTAGGATTTCCTCTATCAACAGTTTTTCTTCTCTGCAGGGTTAATCTACATTCAGATTTGGATGGTATAGAAGGTCCTAGAGTTCTTTTACTAGCTGACACGATGTAAGTCTTATTAAACTCATTGCTTTTATCCAGGGGCAACATTGGCTGTCCCTGTGAGTCATGGTGTTGCACTTGGGACGTAGGTTCTCTGTCGATCTGTTTGCTCCCTTTCTCCAAGATATTGGCTGGATTGTTCTGCACTGAACGTAGAGCACCAATGACCATAGTTTGATCTTTGAAGCTGTGGTGTAAGCAGGCATTTTATTTACAATTATTTTGTTAAAAGCCACCAAAAAGTAACATTTGTTTTGAATTAAAAGATCTATAGTCGAACAGAAATGAAATAGTGAGGGAGGATCCATTCAGTTGCTTGTCAGGGCACTTCTGTATATAAAAGATAGCAGAAATAATGCCAATTCCATTTTCATTTAGCCCTCTCCCTCACCTTTGTTTGCTTTGCTCTTAAAGGCTTTGCATATAAATTATTCAACTAGAAAAGGAAGTGATTTACTGCTGGTGATTAATAGATTACAACAAAAACACAGGTATTTTGGTGATGGGAAAAAAAAATGTTCAGTTGTGTGTAAGGACACTTCTGTATAAAAGTTTAAAAAAAAAACAAAAATAATCTCAAAAGCCAATAATCTTTCATGTTAGACTCTCTCACAAACTAAGTTTTTTAAAAGAATATAAAATTCAGGAACTGAATTAAACAAATATTTTCAACATTTCTAGAAAATTGTTGGAGGTGAATACTACATTACCAGCCATATGCAATGTAAATATTTAGGTTTATTTTTGTTTTTCAGAATTTAATACTCCAAGAGTATTAAATAAGCAAATGATACATGTATATTTTATACTAGATATTCTAACATTTTGTCACTGTTTACACTTGAAAAATAAGGAAGTGAAACAGTTTACAAAATAAAACCATTTAATTTAAACCATTTAAATTTTCTCTAATAGAGTCTATTAAGTCAGTTGGCTGGCTTGCGATGCAGAGTGACACCAAACAGCGTGGGTTCAATTCCCATACCAAGGGAGGTCACCTCAAAGGTCCCACCTTCTCAACCTCATGCCTTGTCTCATGTATGGGGAGCCTCAGGTTAAACCATGACCAGTTGCCTCCCTCTGATGAGAAAGAAGCCCAACGGTCCTCTGGGTCTGTTGTGACTTTATTCAATGCTGTATAACTAAAATAAAGAAACTGTTTCAATGAAGTGAATATGCCAATTAAGGTGGCAATTTTTAAAAAGTTGTAATAGAAATGTCAAAAGTGTATTTTTCTGCTCCTCTTAAAACCTGTCACAGATGGTGGAATTAATAGTTTAAGGATGACCATGAAACCATTGTCAATTGCCAAAAACCTATCTGCTTTGCTGATGTCCTTTAGGGAAGGTAACTGCAATCATTTCCTGGTCTGGCCTATCTGCAACTCCAGATGTTAACTCTTAAATGCCCTCTGGACAGTCAGGGTTGAGCACTAAATGTTGACACAGCCAGGGATGCCGACATAAGTTGACAATACATTCCAAACTGTTCTATAAAGCTTCGGAACACCAATCACTTCGGCTATGTAACCCTCTTTTTGCCCAATAAGCCAATCACGTAACATTTCTCCTGCCCTGCACTGAACATCCACTTTTCTCTCTCACTCTCATTTCTCATCATGACCTCTCAGAAATCATTAGATGATTCTCCCACCTCTTGTGCCCTCACTTCCCACTAGAGTGTCGAGCTCCTAACTTTGATTCTTGATCCAATGCTAGCTAACAATCTAAATGGTACTGTCTTTTTAACTTCAAGGTTGCCATCAAAACCCCCCTTCAAAAAAAAGCCTTCAGCTTCTCTATCCTTGCAAACTACCCAACTTCCCTGTTCCCTCTCCATCTCCACTGATGTATTGTCACCTCCAAGATTTGTACCCTCCTTTTCTCTGTCAACATTTAAATCTGGCAGGATTTGTACTCCACCAGCACAGTTCAGAAATGGTCCCAATCCTAGATACACTATCCTGTGAATGTATTACATTTATATCTTATCATTCTTCAAAGCCTTTCTTTCTCCTCCATTACCAGCTAGGTGGGATTTTCCCTAATTGTTTTAACTCTTACCTATTCAAATATAGCCATAACACCTCCAACAAAAACTTCATCATTTCTCTTATCTCAAGGTTGATTGTCAGTCTATCTCATTTCTATAGGACTATTTGCTGAACATGGAAAAAGTGCATGTTTTTCCAGTTAAACATGGAAATAACTAAATCTTCCAACCCCCTGCTAATGATTTCATCTCCTAAACTGGCTCAAGTTGAACCAGTTCTGAGGAACTGTCACCGGTCCCGAAACGTTAACACTGTTTTTTCCTTCAAAGATGTTGCCAGACCTGCTGAGCTTTTCCAGCAACTTTGTTTTTGTTCAAGTTGAACCAGACTATCTACAACTCAACATCCTATTTTAATACCAAGCCTCTGCTCTTATATCTTTGCCATCACCAAGACTGGTTACTTCCAGCTCTAACATTAAAATAATCAACCATATATATCAACCAACTTTAAATTCAACTATTTCCAATGCTCTCCTGTTCGTCACATTTCCCATGCCCCAGCATATCTAAATGGTTGTCTGTAAATCATGCCACACCATATCATGTTCACCCATTACCCTGTGCTAAATGATTCACATTGGCTTACAATATCTTATATCTCGAAATGTGAAATGCACACATTTTCTCCTTGAACCATTCTATGGCTAATATTACTCAGTACTACAACCCAACTACTCTGCATTCCACCAACTCTAGCTTCTTGAACCTGATGAAATTGAAAGGGGTATAAAGTGAGTCCAAGATAAGGATCATAATTTTATACGGGATGTTGGGGACCAGAAACCATCATAAACCTAAATAAAATTTAAATCATTGAGGACACAGATGGCTGAAGCAGTGTTTTCATCCAGTATGCAAATACACCAGCGAAAAGGACACCGGACCAGATCGTACTCCCTCACTCCAGGCGAAGTCGGAAGTAAATGCTCGTACCAAGCGGTCTCTGAAATTCACAATGACAACAGCCTCCCGGGTGTATCAGAGATCGCAGCACAGGTAAAGAATGACATAATCAACACCTCGGGAAAAGAAGAAAACATCAGAAACATTCACCAAGGAAATGGGCTCAGGATTGGGGGTGGTTGATAATAAGGACCTCGGGCCGGGAGGACAGTGAAATGCGGGGGTAGTATCCCGAGGCCAGGGAGATAGAGGCTGGTCCCCCATAGCCCCCGGAGCCGGGAAGGGGGTGACACAGAGAAGGTGGTCCTGGTCCCGGTCCCAGGGTGCAGGAAGGGAGTTTCCTCCCGGGTAGAGGGTAACCCGATCTCACTCACAAGACTCACCTCCGCGCGACCCAAAACACCAGCTTCCCCCCTCCACGAGCTCGCCTCGCGCATTCAAATTTCCCAAATCCCGTCTGATTGGCCCATTCCGCTCCCTTCCCCGCCCGGCCCCGCGACAAGACGTTATGCGCTGTGACGCGACGCAGCTCGCGGGATCCCTGCCTTTCACCCATTGGTCAAACCGACCAGTAGTGAGCCCTCCCCTCTTCTCTGCGGATTCTCTCTCTGTCCCCGGACTCTGTCGGACGTGACCGCGCCCCTGGAGCCACGCTCTTTCCATGTGGCCCCGCCCCTAAAGCCGCGCGCTGCTTGTTTAGGCCTATCCTCCCCTTGTCCCCGCCCTCAGTTGCGGATATTCTTGTCTCAAAGAGATTATTTGGAGAGGAAATACCTTTTTATTCCAATTTGTTCACATTATAACCGGAAAGCGTAGGAAGTAGGTGGATGAGCTTAAAATCCTGAAATATTTCTAGATTCAAAATGAAAGAATGTAGCTTTGCAAACTGATGAAAGAGGCTCTTTGATCTGCCAGTCTTGCTGTGTGAGGAGCTGTATTACCACACAGAAAAAACCGAAAGAACTGCGGATGCTGTAAATCAGGAACAAAAACAAAGTTGCTGGAAAAGCTCAGCAGGTCTGGCAGCAGTTCTGAGGAAGGGTCACCGGACCTGAAACATTAACTCTGTTTTTTCCTTCTCAAATGCTGCCAGACCTGCTGAGCATTACCACCCAGTGTTGTAAATTGAAACAGGAAATGAGAAAAGTAAAGGGATGGATGGCTAACATAAAAATAGAATCCCAAATAACCATAGTGGCCAGGAGTCCTCAGTTGGAAAAGGAAGACATGTCAGAAACTTCACCGTGGAAGATAGCACCATCAGGACAGATGTCAATCACGGAGAATGGACTGGAGGTCTTTCAGAAAGCAGGGTGTGTGGAAGTGTAATCAAGGAAGCTATGGGAGTTTGGGTTAGGGTATGTAATTTATTTTATAAGACAGTGCATCCTCAGAAATGGAGATGGAGGACTGGAGGAAGGGAAGGGAAGTGTCAAAGATAAATCAAGATGGAAATTGCAAGCAAATTGAATGTTTTAATCCAGATCAGCCAGAGTGGCACCAGTACAGTCATCACTTTTTACCGGAGAAAGGGATTTGGAGTGGGACTGGAATAAGACTGTACCATGTACCCCACAAAATTGCAGGCATAACTAGGACCCCTGCAAGTACTGTACTCATAGCCACTTAGAGGATGTGAAATGAGTTGAAGAATAAATTATACAATGACGGTACAAGCTCTGTCAGGCAGTGGAGACTGGCGGTGGTTGGGGATTATTCAGGCCTCTGTTCCAAAAAAAAGAATGTGGATGATGGAAATCCGAAACAAGAACAGAAATTGCTCGAGAAACTCAGCACGTCAGGCAGCATCTGTGGAGACAAAGTAAAGTAACGTTTCAAGTCCGATGACCCTTCTTCAGAACTGATTGTAGCTAGGAAAAGGTTGGTACATGTGCTGAAGACGGGAAGGGGATGAGGACTAAACAATAAGTGGGGTGGAGCCCAGACAGAGAAAACAGCAGTTGAGCAAGCAAAGGATTGGGTAATGTTCAGCCTGGGAGAATGAGTAGCTGCTAATGGGGACCATAGCTGACAATGGATTGGTTGTGATGACAAGGCCTGGTGTATGGGGTTTGGGAGAAGGACATGGAAGAAGGTGCTCAGGCCCTGAAATTATGGAACTCGATATTCAGTATTGAAGGCTGCAGGATCCCCAAGTGGAAAATGAGCTGCTGTTCTTCCAGCTTACGCTAAGCTTCACTAGAGCACTGCAACAGCCTGAAATGGAGATGTTGGCCAGGGAACAGTGATGTGTTGAAGTGGCAGTCAGCCAGAACGTAGGCGTTCTGTAAAGTGGTCACCTAGTATGCGTTTCCTCTCCCCAGTGTGAAGGTGACTACATTGTGAGCAGCTATGCCATCTTTGTGAGGGATAACATGTAGACAGATTGGACTTCCATAGAGGCCACACACAATACTCCCAAGTACAGTCTCTCCATCATCCCATGGAATTGAGCCAAGACTTCTTTGCTTCTATACTTAAATTTTCTTGCAATAAACACCAACATACAATTTGGCTTCCAAAATTCAAGCTTTTTCTTCACAGATGCTGCCAGGCCTGCTGAGCTTTTCCAGCAACTTCTGTTTTTGTTCAATATTTTTAAAATATCAAATAATCACATCCTTTATAATGGATTTTAGTATTTTCTCTACTACTGACATTGAGATAACAGGTCTGTAGTCCCTTTTATTCTCTCCTGTCCTTTTTTAAATAGTGACTTTATATTTATAACCATCCAATCTGTAGGCAGTATTAAAGAATTAATAGAATTTGAAAGATGATCACTAGTGCATCTATTATCTCTGTTCCTGAGCACGTAAGTCAATTTGTACAATACAGTACAATATAAAATAGATACAAGCAAACGTTCACTTGTTGGGTCTTTAAGATGAAATCTTGTTTGTCAATACAAGCATTCATAAGTCAGTTCATAAATCAGAAACTGCCTGTACTAATTTGTTTCAATTCCACAATATGAGTAAACCTTTGGATCTTAATTATTTCTTGTGTCTTCTATGAAGACAGACACAAAGCGGTTGATTAGTTTCTCTGCCACTTCAGTTCTTTCATGTTATAAGATCTGCTGTTTCTGCCTGTATTAGACCCACATTGTTTTTGATAGTCTAATTTTTACATACCTGTAGAAGCTTTTTCAAGTTGTTTTTGTGTTTTTGAAATTTTACCTTCATATTCTACATCTGCTATTTCACTTTTTATCAGTTTCTTGATCCTGCTGAATTACAAAATTCTCTCAATCCTCAAGCTTACAATTTTATTTTGTTAGCTATAACTCTCTTGTTTTTCCTGACTTTCTTTTATTCACTGGATGAGATTGTCATTGGCTAGGCCAACATTTATTGCCCATCCCTAATTGCCCAGAAGGCAGCGAAGAGTCAAACACATTGCCGTAGATCTGGAGTCATATGTAAGCCAGACCTGATAAGGATGACAAATTCCTTCCCAAAGGACATTTGTGAACTAGATGGGATTTCCCCCCCAGCAATTGGCAATGGTTTTGTGGTCATTTTCATACTTTTAATGAATTCAAATTCCATCATCTGCTGTTGTGGGATTTGAAACCTTGGTCCCTGAGATTACGTGGGTCTCTGGATTAAGACTGCAATGATAATACCACTAGGCCATGACCTCCTAAATATTTTTGTATTAAAGAAATGTATGTTCTTTGAAAACCAAACATTGCTTCTTTATATATATCGATTGCCCTATGTCTTGTCAATTCTCTTAACATATTTTCCAATCCACCACAGCTAACTTTGTATTTTTACCTATGTAATTAACCCTTGTTTAGATTTAAGACCCAAGTTTCAGGCTGACCTACATATTTTGCAAACTTCACATTTGAACAGTGTTGTCAAATATTTTTATTAGTTTATTATATTATTATGTATTATTTGAAAATTTAGAACAAATTTAGAGCAACGGAGAGCAAAATAAAGATTCAGATAATCAAAATTAATTTCAGTTAAACAGTGAAATAAATTGAAGGGCAAAAACTAATTTAAAAATTTATATTTTAACTGAAAATATTTCTTATTGATACAGTGGACAAATAACATGCACAAGCTATAAAGTATAAAATATTAAAATATCAGTTTATTTCTCCAGCAACTGATTTTGTTCTCATTTTTTATCACACTTGTGTCAGTGTTTCTATTATAAGTGCCTGTGTTGACATATAGAAAGGAAATGACATAGCAATGCTTATTGTTGTATTTGTACGCTCAAGCTGTGGAGGGCTGTAGGGCTGCTTCACACTTTGACTAATCAATTAATGCAGTATGCAAAGCAGAATCAAATAGGTCGTGATTTCATTACATATCAGTATTTCATATATAATGACTCTTTCAGGTATTGAAAATGATATAATGTTGATGTAAATTTTGCTTCTGCATCTGATGGTTTTCAAACGGTTTTTAATTAAATTGCCATTGAATGTATATTTTTGAAGAATGACAGAAAAAAAACCTGCACCTGAGCTAAATCGTATTCCACACTAACACTTTATTTGCAAGTAGTGTCACTAGATTTGGACCTGAAAACTAAAGTATTACTGTTTTGTTGGATATTTCCTGGATTCAGCTTTGAATTCTAAGAGGATTGGCTAAAAATAAGGCTGAGAGCAGGTGACCAAGCCAGTGCTCATCAACTTTGTCTTTGTTGGCCAATTAGAGATGTATTATTTTGCTTTAGTAGAACTTAAAGGAATCATATTACAGATTAAATTAATATTCTTGTACTAATTAATTTTCACATGTCTCATGTTCCAGTATTTGATTTTGGTGTTCCAGTCTGGTACCAATGTAACAACAGCACTTCCAAATCTGTAAGGCATATAACATAAAAATAATGACAAATCAATGAATCGTAAAGACAAATATCAATTAGGCTTGGCTATTTGTGCTTTTTGCCAGGGGTTGAAAACAGTGTAAAAACTGAAAGAACTGCGGATGCTGTAAATCAGAAATGAAATCAGAAATTGCTGGAAAAGCTCAGCAGATCTGGCAGCATCTGCGCTTGAAAACTGTGTGGCCACTTCACAATGAGAGTTTCACTGGCTGTATCTTCTGAGCAGATTGTAATGGTCATGTTGCTACTGTGTTTGATAATGACTCAATACTAGTGTGCATTTCTTCCAGGATCTTCTTACTCCACCTGTTGGAGAAATCTGCAACATCCCGTCCCCTGGGGATTTCCACTGGAAACAGTTGAGTTGGAGGAAGGCAGAACATACCCAACTTTTACAACCTTTACAGCCATATTATTCATTTAAATATCCTGTCTGAATGTTAGTGAATGAATGGCCAGGTGACCAACTGTATGGATGTGTGAGGTTGGTAGGTGAGTGAGTGGATATTTGGGTCAGATCGCGAATGTAGTCAGGTTGTGCAGTAATTTTGTCATGATGATCAGGACAGGTGATCAGATTAGGATGGTAGTTGGGTCGGG